GTGTTTTAAGATTTGGTTTTATTTTCTCATTGCCCTACTCGGATTTAATTTGCAGTAAATTAAATTAATCTTTCCCCAAGCTGAGTGTGTTTTGCCTGTGATGGTAATTGGTGACTGATCTCTCCCTGTCCTTATCTCAACCCACAAACTTGTCATTACATTTCCTCTCCCCTGTCCAGCTGAGGAGGGGAGTGACAGAGCAGCTTTGGTGGGCACCTGGCATCCAGCCAGGGTCGACCCACCACACCAATGATACCCATTTACCACTTTTTCTGCATCTGCCAGCCCTTCTGGGTCACATATCCTTGCTGAAGGGGTCAGGATGGTGCGTGGGTTAGGGGGAAGCTTAATGTAAAAGCTAGGGTAGATTAAGTTGATAAAAACCTCTGTATTTTAGTAAGGTTTTAAAGTCATATCCTATGCTATGGTTGTACTTTAACAAGACCTTTGAAAAATTCTCAAACCAAACCTCTTGCAGAGTGCTATAATTTCACCTAGGAGGTCTACCTACAGTAGCTTCACGTGTGCATGGATTACAGGGAAATGCCAGCTGTTCTTCTGAGGCAGCTTTAAGGCTCTTCTGTGTCACTGTGACAATGAATGCAGTGTCTGAGGGTCTGTCTTTGAGGTCTTGTCTCATTTTATATGGGGTTTGTATTAAAGTTAGAAGATGGGCTTGTCTAACTGTGCCCTGATTCCATGGTCACTTCTTCGTTTCTTCTTCTTCACACAAGTCTGAATGGACTAGCTGGCCATCTTGATTTGAATTGTTGCCCATTACAGCAAGATCTCAGATGTGCTCCCTGATTGATCTGTATGACAGCCCATGTCATTTAAAATGAGTCTAGTCATCTGTCTATGTGCATTTGCACAACAACAATGTTGACTTGATGGCTCTCCAGTCCCAATCCTGGACCCACATGGAACGAACTTCTTTGACCTTCCTGGCACAGCAGATCCATTCAAAGTCAGTCATGACTTGCTAGAACAATGAATGCGAAAAATACACCATTGGCATTTTATTAAGTTGAAGGATTATACTTTCAGCAACATTCCAGAAAGTAGTTTATCTAAGATGTATTATCTGTTACACCCACATTTGAATTTCAGTACTCATCAGTTCATAAGCAGAAAGAACTCCAGAGAAAGCAGAGGTGGCATTTATCATGTTATGCTCTTTACCACTGGAAAGAAAACAGAGGAACATTCCTGTTGTGCCTCATCTATACTCTCTTCATCACACTACAGTCTCTTGATGGATACTTCCACTTATTGCTTTTATCAAGCTTCTGGCCCACACTCAGGTAAAATTACTTAGCATAAACACAGTGCTGTTGAAGGTGCCATTTAGGTCTTTTGGGTACTTCAGGGACCAGTTGTATGTTTTTCTTGTCCTTTGCCTTGCCTGTTTTACCAGACAGCAACGTTTTGAGCAGAAGCTCTCTTTCCCGGTGTATGCATTGCCTCGCACAAAGCGGGCAAGGGGTTTTAGACAGCCCTGCCAATATTAATCCCCTCTGCAGCAATTGCCTCTTGCACGGTGCTGAGCATGGTCCATTCCCCTTAGACAGCACTGGGCACTGAGAGCTCTTATCTGGGAACTGGCTCCCAGTCAAGGTTTAGTTATGGTGTTTCTGATTCCTGTGGCAGATAGGCAGTCATGTGGGTTGTCCTGTTCACTTATGCCAGTCAGGACAGTCTTCCTGACTTCAGGAAGAGTCTGTGTGTGGATGGCTCCCTGCTCCTGCGGGCTGGCTCATGGGTCTTCTGAAGGTAGCACTGGAAGGGTTAGAGCGTGCTGCAGCACAAACCCCTCCACTTACAAAAGCTGCTTCACCCCTCTGTCTGTTCCCCCTCCTCTGTCCCACAGCCATATGAAAGAAATAAAAAACCCCCTCACAATGATCCCAAGAGTCAGATTTAAGTAAATGCGAAGTTATTATATTTGGGGAATATTTAGAAAGATAAGAGCCTCTAGGCTTCAATAACCATTGAAATTCTCTCCTCTGTATACAGGGAGGGGATGGCAGTTACCCTGGCTGAAATGAACAAGAGGTGCAATAAAATTATCCTGTAGGCAATTTGAGCCTTTCTCATATATTTCAGAGACTGCAGAATAAGCTTAAAGTAAATAGTGTTGTAATTCAGTTCTTAATATCTCATTAAGTTTTATAAGCATGGTGGAAGGCAGAAAGGAAAAGAGGCAGGTTCATGTGCTTTCTTCACACAGCTTGCAAACTAGGAATAAGCAGCTGTTACTCCTCACAGTATTTTCTGATGTATTTCTAATATGTTTCTTCTGCATTATGGAAACATTAAATCAATGTAGTTTGCCTGTGTGTACAGATGTGAGGTGAAATCCTTTCTCTTCCCCCCTTCTCCCTCTCTCTGATGCAGAACATAGAAATCAGAGAAAAAGGCATTCAAGAGAATAAGTGAATGGCAGCAAAAACCAACACAGCTGGAGGGCTTGGAGTAGCAGCAAGCTGAACAGGAGAGAGGGCAGACACGGACTTCAGAGAACAGTTGCAAGCAAACACACATCCTAGAACAGCTTTGGAAGAAACATTTGATTAAGATTTATCAAGTTAATCAGTGCATGATAATTAGTGTTAATGGCAAGATTAAAAAAAAATAAAAACAATTTATCTCATTCTAAAATAATTAGCCCTAATGACATGTTTGTACAGCACATAGAAAGACATTTTGATGGGGATCAGCCCAACATCTGTGTGTGCATAGCATATATAACAGCAATAGGTCCTTGTAAAACGTCTGACAGATGTGAGATCATCAGTTTTGCTGAGACTTTTCCAGGGTTCCAGGGATCTGAGCAGACTTATTCTGATTTTCTGCAGAGTCTGCAGGTGCTCATATTTCTGAAAATGAAGATCATTTCTCTATATTCTCCCTTATGTACACCTGTTGTATTAGCCCTGGTCTGCATCTTGAGAAACAGTAGACATGTTACAGGGCTTCATGAGGATGATTAGGGAATCACTGTTGGCCTTGGAATCTGTCTTCCTTGTGCCTGTAGCAAGTTTTATGTAGTTTTCCCATCCTGCTTGGCTCTTTTGTATCACATGTTTGAGTAATAATGCTCTTCTGCTGGCTGATGTGGCATTAATCCCCTTTGGTATTGTTGTGAAGTCATTTAGCTGGTGTGTAATTCAGTTTCTTTACACAAAAAGAAACGTTAATACAGTTCTTACTGTTGTTTGTATTCAGTCATTACAGCACTCAGCCCAATCACTGGTGATGCAAATTGAGGGGTATGAGTGTGAAATGGTAAGGATTTCTCATCCAGGTGTCTTGAGTAATTGAAGCTATCTGCACAGAAATCTTGCTGAGTAAAAAAGGGCAAAATATTATTAACATCATTATGCCCCTCATAAAATCTAATGAGTGGTAAACATACTGGGAAGGATAATGAGTCTAGGTGAGTGTTACCTATGGAGATCCCTGATTGAATAGCTCTGCTTAAACTATTCCTTCGTTAATGACTGACTTGTGCATTTGTTGCTGTCCTGGTAGGCAACTGCTGTAGGATTGATAGTTGGATTACCTCTTTCACCTGGGCAGTCTGTGTGATCTGAACTAGCACTGCTGGCTATCACCTTGACATTTTCTCTACATTCAGCTCTTTAACACAGGAATGCAGTAAAGTGAGGGATGCAGCCTTTTTCCATCTGTCGTCCTCCTTCTAATGCAAATGTCTCTACTGACAGCAGAGTAAATGACCTCTCCACAGCAAACCTGGCACATACCCTCCATGGTTTCTGCAAGCTAAGCTGAACAAGCAGCAGCATGTGGTAAGCTGATACTGAGCCTAGTCTTTGTGCTGAAGGAGTCTCATCAGTATTGCTCCCCTGCAAATTCTTTTTGGGTGGAGATGTCATCTGATGCACCTGGATAAGTGGGTTGGAGGCCTCTTAAATAGTGGTGGTGAGGGTTTAGGCTCCTAGGAGTGAGCAGAATGAGGAGGGTTAGAGTTATGTTGCTATTGCCTTTGTGGTGCTATGAGGACTCCTGGCTCAGGAGCTTTGCTCAATCACTGCTGAGGTTCCTAGGCTTCATCTTTTGGGGCATTGCTGTTGCTTTGACCTTTGGTGGAGTTTTTGTGATCCTGATGGACAAGAGCTTCAGATACTTATTTCGGGAGTCTTTCTTGTCTCTCACTGGCTGGCTGGCTGTTGTGGCTGCGCTTGTCTTGCTACCTGTTGGAGTTTTGGCAATCTCTATTTCTGCTAAGATCTCCCGGTATCAGCAAGGGACTTTCATGTACTTACTGCTGGTCCTTCTTTGCCTAGAAATGTCTTTGGCAGTTCTGGTACAGTTCAACTCTCCTCAGATGGCTTCTGAGCTGCAAAGCACTATGGATTCCATTGTCTATCATTACAATGGGACACACTCTCAGGGTCCTGGCAGCATGGCTTTGGATGAGGTACAGAGAAAGCTGCAGTGTTGTGGGATCAAAAACTACACAGACTGGCTGATGGTAACAGCTGATTCTTGGCATCTTCCACCTGAAAAACGTCGTGTCCCTGAAAGCTGCTGCAAGGAGGAGTATTCTCACTGCAGGGGTGACTTAGGCCATCTGGAGCAGCTTTTTCAGGAAGGCTGTCTAAAGAAGCTGGAAGACCGGTTGCATTTTGCCATGCTTTACATGCTTTGGTGCTGTACTGGGCTAAGTATCTTAGAGCTGTTGGCTGGTGTCAGCAATTGCATCCTCATGAAGTATCAGCCTCTCTATGACCTCCGATTTCTGGACTCATCTACTTTCTCATAGGCCTGTGGACACTGACAACATTGCTGAATCTGCTGCATGTTTCCTTGGTTTTGGACCACTCTGCTGTTGCACTGGAAGAAAAACTTATTTTTAAAAATTATTTTTGTGTAAATCAAAGTAATTGACCACTGATGGATTTTTTTTCTTTAATATTGTATTAGATTAGCTTTCCTCCACTTCTTGTTTGATAAATATCCAGTATCCAAAAAACTTCATTGCTGGAAGTCACAACAAGGAGAGGAGAGCCTTCAGTAGTCTCATGTTCACACATACTATATGTGAGTGGGGGAAGCAGTAGGTATGTCTTGCTTAGGGGAGCATGTTGTAAGGTCATGACTCAAACTCTTGGCATAGATTTTTAACTGTACAAGAATCTTGAAGAGTAGTTAAAGAGCAGATTCCTCCACCTTCAAATTTGTATTTACTACTTTAGTATTTCTGAAAGAAACCATTTGCATAAAGTTCAAATTTTTTTCTTTTTCTCTGTAAAACAGTGGTTTAAAAACTCATTTTTGTTCAGTAAAAATAAAAGTCAATTTTTGAAGTGGCATGAGGGTGCAAACTAAATGGGGAAGATATGTTGAGTAACTAATAAGATGACATGTAGCAGAAGGTACAGTTATCTTGGGAGCTGCACAGGAGCAATTCCCAAATTAGAGAGGAACAAGAAAACCTGCCTGTATTTGTTAATTTATTTTGCATCAAAGCAAGAAATGAGTCAATTTTCCTTTCCTGAAAAGTTATGTGTGGTCATATGCATGCTTGAATGACAACAGCAATATGCTGCTTTTTCTTAAGGTACATCTGCCCTGCTCTTACTAAATCTTCATCTCATCTGTTTTCTGTGGGTCTCACTCCAGTCTGCCTGTGCTGAAAGGGACTAAGTCAGCATATGGGCTATCCATATTCTTGTTTATGCCAGTGTTGTTGGTGTTTAGGGAGGTTATGGTAAAGGCTCTGCTCTATGTGTGTTGGGCTGCGCAGTGTATAGTTGTGCGTGCTTGTACGTATGTGTGTTTGGGAAACGCCCTCAGCCTCCCTACTGACCTGTGAATGGGAACTGCAGCAGCTGCATCTTTTGGGAAATGTACGTAGGGAATCTTCAGGGCTTACAACTGCACCATGTTAGTCTTTACCAGACTGGGAACAAGGAAGATGTCTGTGTCATAAAAAACACTTAACTGGGCAACTCCTTTTAGCACTTGAAGCAATAGTCATGAATGATTATTTCTCTAAATTTACTACGAAATGTCAGGTACTTTATGACAAATTTCAGACCCCACATCGCCAGATAGTGATTTTCGTGAGAGGGGTCGGGGTGGAATCAGAGTACATAGGTCACCTCTTGCAGGCTTGTTAATAACTATGTGGAAGCCAAACATGAAATACACTGCAGGGCTGCTTCATGAAAAAAGGAAAGACCTTGATTTAAATAAAGGAAAAGAACTAATTTGTAAGGAGTGAGTATTTAGTCCAAAAAAGAAGGAATCTTCTAAGGCAAAAAAGGAAAGTAACTGTGTCTTTGAGTAACATAATAGAAGGAAACACTTCTTTCAGTTTACTTGACAGCAGATGCATGTGGCAGTGAATAAAATTTATCTAGTTAAGCACTGCAATTGGGTCTTTACAGCTTTGTGGTACCCTGGCACATAAATGTTTTGTGATGCAAAGTTAATGCTGTGACATTACAAAGTTGTGATGAAACTGAAGTGACAGCAACTGGCTCAGGAAGAAACTGAATTTGTTGAAGAAAGGTGGAAGTAGTGGAGTGAATGTAGTGCCTTTTTAGCACCTGCCTTTCTTAAGGGGGCTATTTTTCTTCTTAGATCAATTTTTACCCCTTAAAACTTCCTTCATAGATTCTGAATCTCTTAAAACGAGGAATATCTGTATTTTTCACTACTAAGTGGGAAGAAGGAATTTTAATGTGGTAAGAGGAGAATTATTAATGTGTTTGTCTTCACTCTCCAGTCTGCTGAAAATCCAGGTCATACATGCATCCCTGTACTCTTACTCTGCTAAGAAAATTGTAAGATAAATATGAAATAAAAAAATTCTATGGGAGTTAGCTATAAGAAATGATTCATAAGAATATTTTTTTTCCCCCTGCGTACTAGGTATACCTCTGGAAGATCAGATCTTAAACCTGGTAAGAACCAGAGGAGAGCATGAGGAAGCATGAGACAGAAATACTACATGAAGAAATGATTGTTGGTAGAGAGTTGCTAGACAAAACAATAGATTTATTACCCCTTTCTGCTTGTGTTGACTTGGGCAGTGTGAATAGTTACTTCTAGACAGGAGTAACTTATTTTCAATGAAAAATAGTGTTATTTTTAAGTAACTGCAGTGTATTTATGTGTTATTAGGTACATAAATCCTTGGGTACTATTGCAATCTGTACCTTGTATGCTTCATTCTGAAAGGATCTCCAGATGTTTTTCATAATCTGTGAAAATAAGCAGCTGTACAGGTAGACAGCAGATGACTTACAGTCAGGATTTCTGAAAATTGTGTTGCTTTGCATTTGGAGGGGAGAAACTGACATCCAGTACAAAGCTGGAAATATATTCTATGACTACTCTTTTGCAGAAACTCATATATTCCATGTGTGAGTTGGTGATTTCACTGTGATGTGTTTCTTAGAATACAAGAGTCAGAAAGGCAAAATTAATGCTGAAAGGAAAAAGTCACCATTGCAGCCCTTCAACAGCCTCTTTCCTGTATGCCTCTCTGAACCACCAAACTTGGCAGAGAGCACTGGCTGCAGCTCTACAGCATGGCCATTTTGAAACTGATTGCTTTGTTCTGACTCCTTCACCTTTCCAGATGGTGAGCATGTTGAAATTATACTGCTACTTCTATGTTTTTCTGTTGGTCTTTCTGTTTGTCTTTCCTTCTTTTGTCTTTTTTTTTTCCTAGAAGGAGTTGTCTTCCCACCCCCTCCACTCCACCTTACTGTGAATGATGTCTTGTTTTACCTCTGAGCAGAACATAATCGAGATTCTGGAATTATGAGTTGTCCTTTAGCATGATAATTGTCTTTTTAGTTTAAAATTAAATTAGGTATCACAAATACAAAGTAGAAAGATCTGGGCTTTGCTAGAAGGTGGTTGAAGTTTCGGTTCCTGCCTACCTCCCATGGATATTGTTAAATCACTTGAAGTTACTCTTCAATTGAAATTATGGCTTTTATAGTCTGGTAAGGGGTTTTTTTTTTTTTTGCCTGTGCAATGAAGCAGGTGGTTGTAGTGTTACACTGTCTATTTTCTCTTAGAAATTGAGTTGGGTGATCTCCACCAACTAGAAAAGATTATGTGGAACAGCCAAGCCTTTTTTCTTGCTAAACAGGGTATTTTCTTTAGAGCAACACCAACAGTAAGGCCTCTGCCAATATCTGGCAGCTGCTACTTCAAACACCAGGAAGAAATCCCTTTGTGTGTGATTGTCCCCTGAGTCGAATGGCTGTTTCAAAGCAATAGAACATTTTCTGAACACATTTCTGAGAGCCAGAGAGTTGCCAAGTTGATATTTAGTGGTTCTGAAGCATTGAAGATGAAAGATTTCATATCATCTGTTAATATTTTTAGGTGTCAGAAATCAGTTTTTATCCTGAGGGTTCCCTTTTACATTTTTCAAATTTTTTAAAAGAAGACAACTGTATCTTCAAGAAGATAAACATTCTGTTATTGCCTCCTATATACTGTAAAGTTACTGTGGAAACATAACCTGGCTTTTCATATAGATATGTGGTTTTACTGAAGAATACAGGAAGTTCCTGTAGTGAAGTTAATTCCATCAATGTTACTCTGATACACTAGAGAAGTTTGTTTTTTAATGATGTCATCTTTTCTCTCCAGTAGAGGAAAAGCTAAATATTTCATGACTTAATACCTAAGGGGATCTAAAAACAGAGGTGCATGTGAATAACTTGATTTTGTTAGGAAAGGTCACACTGTTAAATCTATCCAGCAGCACATATTTTTGCAGCTTCACATCTTGAAACTGGAGGAAAATGGCTGTACTTGCCTGACACAGAATTTGTATGAAGCTATAGTTAAATCCATATGGGGATGCTGGAAGAGAAGGTTGCACAAGCTAAACAAGTCAACAGAAGGTACATCTATATAGTTGCTAGAGTTAAGTGAATGGGAATTTTTTTGAAAAATTATACTGCTGGTTGAGAAAGAAAGACTAATCTTGTGCTTAAGGCATGAAAGCAGGAGGCTGTAGCTCTGGAGCAAACATAGAAGCAATAATAAATCCTTAAATCAACCTATTCATGTATATCTTTCAATTTTTGTCACTCTTCTATATGTACTCCTAGAGAAAATACATTCCAAAATGAGCTATGTTTGTTTCAGAGAGAGAATGTTTGATTATACAGTATGTAATTTATGAGTATAGGTGTGCATATTTACATGGTAGACGGCACATGGATATTACTGTGGAGCCTTCTATAATAGTAAGACAAAAGATAGCTATTCAGTTTGTAGCTATAGGTGATTAATTGTAAGAAATACATTTGTGAGGGTTTTTGTGCCCTGCATATGCTCGGATTGGATGAAAAAGCTGAAACTAGTCGTTGCATGTCAGAGTTATGCTTTCTTTCAAAAAAGTTCCTTTCTAATTAAAGAAGCTTCAAATGGTAGCTGTAGACCATTGGAAATATCCAGGAGACTTGCATATAAGAAAGCCCTCATCTGTGTCCTCATCTTTTAAGTCATGTCAATTAATATCTCTTCTAATTATTCAACAGATGCAGTCAGTATGACTCTTTTATTAGACTTCAAACTGTTTGTTTTTTACCATGATTTATGTGTTACTTCCTAAGAAGATTCACCAAAATTCACCTTTGAGTGAAGGTATGAGGTTTGCATCTGAATTAATGAAAAAAGTTTTGAAGCGTTGTTAGATTATAGGTTAAAAAAAAAGAAAAGTAATCACAGTCTGAGAAAATCCCTTTCAAAGAGTGAGGAACTCACTCGACTGTTTAAACA